CAGCACCTAACTTCACAGCATGTGTGGGAGTTGCTGTTTTACACCTCTGAGAGGATGGGCAGCTTGTGTAAGCTTGTGGGTATATTATCTGTCAAGGTGGTTATCTAAACAATTTAATTTATGAATTAAAATACCTTGTTTTGGTATCTGTAGAGAGCTTGGATAGCTAACTACATTTTGATCTTCTTGGTAAGCGGGAGAATGACATTTCTGTCTTGGCTTGGAATTTCATGGCAGAGGGGGCACACAGGCTGAGACATGCAGTGCCTGGCTTGTCTCTGAGATAAAACAAATAACATACTATGAAGGAATCACTCTGAAAAACTCTGCCATTGTATTCCAAATTTATCATAACTCAGTAATTTCTAGATCATATTTCCTTGTCCGAAAAGGAAACAAAATAATGGTTTCTAATTGTCAGTTTTGCAGACTCAAAGTCAGAGGTTCTCTCTGCCTCACAGTTCATAAATGATAAAAAATTTGCTTTTAGAGTGTAATTAACAGTTCTCTAAATGTCTTAACTGGCATCCAGACCCTTTTTCCCAAAGTTATGTTGGCTTTGCAAAACAAACAGGAATAAAATGCAGTAAAAAAAATAAGGTGAGCATATGTAAGAGGATATCACTTTACTTTTAGAAGTGCCATTCATATTCTACTGTTCTTAACCTGGCAGATTTCATTGGCAAAAATTTGCCTTTTATGGAATTATGAAATGCAATTAAACATTCCCAGTGTTGGAATTAAAAATAGTGATTATTATGCAACACCTTGAGTAGGATGCGTATGTCAAGTATCAAACTGATTACAGCACATTCACTGAGGAGGACAAAAGATGGATTCTGCAGTTCAGCATCAAGGATTTTTGTGCTGTATGAAGTGAGCAGTTTGTACCAGGAGTTACAAATATTTTTCTTTCATATGTAGAAGGAAGTGATGTATGCCATCAGACCTATTTTTTATAGTAAACCTCATCATTTAGCCCAATTTCACTGTAGCCATGGTGCAGAAGTAAAATCAAAGCATGTCCAATATAAAAGTGCAGTAAAAGGAAACTGAAGATGTCTTTGCATGATGTCTTCCCATTTTTCTTCGTATTATTTGTTTTACAGAGCTGAAGGTGCTATTTTGTGTTCTAAATTAATTGGTAGCATCACCATGATATTAGCAATCAATATATGTGCTACCTCAGCACATAATAAATAATTAACCTTCAGCTTCAATATGCTTGTACCTTGGTTTGTGTTTTCTTGTATCCTCCTTTAGAACAGAGCTGCATGCATGCAGTAATACTTGGTTTCTCAGTTTGCTGCGTAGAATTTTAGATCAGTAATGCTATGCTAGCTTTTTTCTTTGATTGTTTAGCCTTTATCATTAGAAATTTATACATAAGAATGTCGACGTAATTTGTTTATGAAAAATGCCATTGTTAGGGCTAAGTTTCAACACAGAATCTGTGTAGACAGACTTGGGTGTGTGGATAGATGAAGAATGAAACTATGCATATTATCAATTATAATGTTTCCCTTATCTCTGGTAGGCAAAATGGATTACACCTCTAAGGAAGGGGGGGGGGAAATTATTAACTAGGATTTCTCTGACAAATAGAAATTACCTCTCTGTGACCTCTTCTTGTGTCTAACCAAATATTACTAAAAGCAAAGGCATGGACTGATGAAATTTTTGATAGCATATACTGAATTCGTATGAATGGATTTCAGAATGCCTAATATGCACAGCTGAGCTGTGATAATCCTGTTGATGTGTTCTGCTACCAAGAAGTAAAAGTAATCACTTTAATTTTCCATCTTGCAAAAACAGGAGGGCAACAACATCTTCAAATGTGTGTCAGCCAGTTATTTAAAGATGCTCCTGAGATACTGTGATGCGGTATATTTTATCTTATCATTTAACAGGTGAACTGGGACCAGAAAATCCAACATTCACAGGCAGAGATGCTCTTTAAGATGATATTAAATCATAAAAAATATAAATAGGAAAAAAGGAAACAGACTTTATGAGCTAAAGAAAGCTGGTAAAAAGGGGGTTAGTCTTATCAGTGTTTAGGGGGAAAAAAGATGTACTGGATGGCAGAGCTTTAAAGCAAAATTATGAGCACAGATAACTTTTGAGTGATCAGAGAAAATGCCAACTTTTTTTTTTTTATATCATACACATAACAAAACTGAAGCAAAGTTGTTAGAGAATAATCCCCCTGGGATGCATGTAAATACACAAAAGCTTAGAACTTGAAACAGAGCCTCGGGGAATTAAAAAATGCACAAGGAAGATAAAAATGAAATTATTTATGGTCACTAATTGAGAGCATTGACAGGGGGACTAGAAAAATCCTAACACACTCAATAAAAATCACATTTTGTGGGAATTCTTCCAAGAGATTCAGGACTGAAAAAGAAATTACTGCCTTAGAGGACATAGAAAACATGTAGCAATAACCACTCTGCTGACATCTAACCCACAATCAGTGTGAAAGTCCTTTGAAATCACTTAACCGGCATTTTTAGTAGTAACAAGAGATTACAGAAAACTATGAGACAAATTCTAAAACAGGTTTTCTTTTAGAAGAATATATTGGAATGCTATGTAGGAAAAGATTTTTCAGGCCATAAGTAGACAAACACTGCCCCCAACCAAGTTTCTGTCATTCTCTGCTGCTATCCAAACAACCCTCTTATCTGCCTTACCAGCTTGTCTCTTCACACACACTTTGCAAGATGTTCCCTACTCTGTGTGAAAACCACAAAAGACCTCTCAATATTTTGACTGTTCTAAATATCGGTTTGCCTACTTATTTTGATGCAGCAATCAGGCCATTTCCTTTTCTTTGTATGTATGAAGTTTTATATCGTTAGGGTTTTATTCAGTTTGAAGTAACTCATGAAAAAGGGTTAAGTCAGGTTGTATAACAGTCTTGATCCTAAAAAGTGCTGATCCCTTGTCTCCTGATTCCATGAATATGCAACAACTGAGTTATAACAAAGATCAACTTGGCTGCATTTTATCCTCTAGTCATGTTGTTCATGGCTGATCACTTCTTCTCCATTCTGACGTGGCCTTGATATACCCAACAAGCTTTCAATAGGCTTTTCTTCTGAGTTACACCATAATTCCAACAGGAAGTCACTAATAATAAGGGATTTCCAGCTGGAAGGCTCAGTAGCTAATTTAATTTAGATTAATGTAAGTACTAAGCTGCAATGGTGCAAGATGCTGCCATGTAAAATAATTGCAATATGCTATAAAAAGATAGTCTTTTAGCAGCATTTTTTGACTAGATGAGTGAACAGAGCACCACACTGGTCATGCCAAGAAGGGCCAGTGTGATTAAAGGTATTTGAGGGAAAAAAAGTGTTGTCTTAGACCCTTGGGTTGTTCAGGGATCAACAAGAGTGAACAGAGCCTTTGTCTGAACTGAGGGAGAAGAGAGCTGGCATTGGCAGTGCATGGTGAGGGTGCCTGTGATGTACTAGCCAGTAGTCCTGGATATCCCTAAGTATAATGAAAAAGCAGTAAGTTCAGCAAGAGACCGCAAGACAAGAGAAGCCTTCTTGCTCAGAACAACATCCAAGATTTTAGAAACCATTAAAAAATGGAGAGATCAATCTTATTCCTATGATCCATTCATTTGAAATTTCCATTGGAGTAGTTCTGCAGCTCCTTCAAACTTTTAGTCACAGAAACAGTGATACAGTCTGATTTTTGTTTTTAAAAAAGCACAAGAAAAGCTTTTTTATCCAAGTGCTTTCTTGTATGTGTGAGATGTTCCCAAATTAAATAACATAGGTGTTGGGTGAGCAACCCCTACACTCTGAATTTTACAAAAAAGTATTCATGAGCTTTTCATTTTCATGAGCTTTTCATGAGCAGGCATTCAGAATGCCAAGAAATTGCTCCTGAAAAGAAAATAGCACATTCCACAGAAGAATTTGCTGTTATGTCTACTTAGCTTTTTCAGATTTGTACTAAAAGGTAAAATAGGATAAGGAAGTAAAGGAAAGCCACAGTGTGCAGTAATCTGTCAGGACTTTGAGTATTAACTGTTGGAAGAAGTATAAGGCTTGTGCAGTTCAGTGAAAGCCTTGAATAAATTTCCAATCTCTAAATTAAATTAATAACCATAGGAGGAAACATGAAAGAAATGGAGATTTTTATACAGAATTTGAAAAGGGCTTGTAAAACATGGAGAATCAGCAATATTGGCTGGTATTGTTTCTTGATGATTTGCTACTCTGTACTTTTAATATTCTGTAGTATCCAATCTTGAGCATGTAAGTTGTGGCAATCAGCCTTGTTCTATGTGAGCATTTTATAATCTTATATCAATCTCTCTCTTATGCTGCTGAAGAGATCAATAGATGTTTCCTGCTGAGGGCGTTATCTTTGATACCAACTTTTTAATTAACTTTTGTCCAGAGCTCAAAGAGCAATGTTTCACAGTAAAAACTCTACATGTACAAAGGAGATCTGACATTTATCAATTATGCTTCCTGGTATCCGCTGGAGTGATCAAACAGTCAGGAGCTGTAGTACTGTTAGTTTTCCAGTGATGGCAAAATAACACAGATGCCCACATCAAATGCATTTGAATCACTCCAGACCCTTTTTGAACATGTTTACCAACCATTTGGTGAAGAATACTCTGACAATACTGAGATCCCGTTGTATATATTAGACATGATAGAAAAGGTAGTAAATTTAGCATAGTTTTAATTTAAGTTGCTGTCTCTTTATCAAAAGTCAATGAAAAAAACAACCCACTTTCCCTTCCTCACTGCTATGACTATACACTGAGAGTTTGTTTTGCTGTCCTTTGGACATCAGGGAGGCGTTTTCCAGAAGATGAAGCTTTGTTCCAGCATCTGTACAAATGCACAGGTCTATGTGTTTGGCTTCCTCTTGTGCTATTCAGGCTAAAATCTAATTTATCAGAAGTGAATCAGGTGCAGTACATGAATGTATATGACTTTTCCTCTTTTCCTTAGGGAGAGCACTCATCCAGACTGGCGGTCATGTGAGAGTCCTTTCTTTTTACTGCCATCTCTGAACAATAGAGCTATTCCATGCTGCGAGAGAGACCCAGCACTGTTGGTAAGCTCCTCCACTGCTCACACCACAGTCCTCAAATATATGTCTGAAAGACATAATTCTTATTTTGTGTTTATTGGTAATTCTTAGGATGCTTTCCAGAGGGGGTACAGATATATTCTGTTAAAAAAAAAAAAATCTTAACAAATTTAAATCTACAGCTTTCTAAAATTCTAAATGAAAATGTGTTCCTTCATATTCCTTCTGTATCTGTGTTATTTTCTTCTTTGATTGTAGCAGTGGTTACTGACTATTTGATTATTTGACTTGAAAACTGTTGGCACATGACAATAATCAAACTAATGTTGTAAAAAAAAAAAGTCAACAGGGACAGCTGCTTTGTAATGCTGAGTGTCAGTGTTTGTATTTGTGGAAGGGGCTTTTACAGGATATCTGGAAAGAATTTCTCTCCCTCTCTTTTGAGATCCTATATATTGAAAAGCTGTTGAGGTTTCAAGAGCCACTGTGTTTTAGGAAGACTTCCTAAAGACACCTTAATTCCCAAATCCCCTTGAGAGCCTGTGCACTTTTCAGCAACAAAGCTTCTGCCTGTGTTATTACTGTTTATTTCTTTTGAAGGAGACACTAACATCAAGAAACAAATGGCGATCTCTCCCAGCAGTCTTATTCTATTAAAGATAGCTGTTATTGTGTCTGCAGCACTGTACAAAGCATAGGATATAATTTTTTGCTTGAGGTCTGCTGATTGCTTTGTTCATCTCTGCTGGTGACAGATTAGCTTTGCGGCACATCCATAGGTCACCAACCACCCTTTTTTGTATTTGTAGTGGTCAATGCTGTGAAGAAGATTTTAAATTGAAAATAACACTTCCTTTTGTTGGCTTGTATTTTGGAGACCCAGAACTCTGTAGCAGAGGTCATACTAAAGATACGCTAGCAATGCTACATGCAAGAGCTTCTATAGTAGCACCCCGTCTCTCGTTATACCTGCTGTCAGCTGGTCCTATCTGTCCATGACATTTATAAAATTCTTTTCATAAAATATTTAAGGTTAAAAAACTGTTAAGGAAAAGTACACTGCCATGGTTTGCTAATGAAAGAAGGAAAGGTTATTTTATTATCAAATGTACAAAGCAAAGTACTCTTCTTCATCTTAGCTGGATGTTTTCCTCCTAAAATGCAAAATCCCTTATCTTTTATATTTCATCAGGTTTCCCTGAAATAGTTCTAATTAAATACTCTTTAAAAACTTATTGCTGAAGCATCAAAGGTGTGTTTTAAAACAAGATAAGAGATTTAATTTTTTTTACGGGCTCTATAAGAATCTTTTTACAAAAAAAAAACTTAAAAACAAACCTGTATTTTCAAGGGAGATGATGGCATGTTTTGACAAAAATTGAGAAAATAAAATAAGGGTGCTAACTCTAGTTCCAACAAATGGACAGATTCATCCACCCTTTTTTAAAAGGACAATGTTTCAGAAGTGTGAAGCACAGTGAAGTCCTAATTTTTGATTCATGGAATGTGTGCTGCTCCGGGAGCCACAGGAACCCAAAACAACACCGGTGAGGCAGGATTAGTATATATCTGGCCTGATACAGAAATTTGTCTTTTACTTCCTTCATGTCACTTCCAAATGGAGTTAGTTATTTTTCAGCTAGTGCGAGGAATACCCCTCATCCCTCTCGTTGTTGGGACCAGATTTTAGAATGGAAAAGAAGGTGTAGACTTTTTAAGATTGAAGATACTGCCAATTCTAAGCATTTCATGTGCAATACATTGTCAGTGAAGCACATTATTCTGGACAAGCAGACTGATTCCAAGAAGGAAGAGCCCTGTAAAGAAGTACATTGGACTGCATAGACAATCTTGGAGATGGATTCTGCTGTTTCCTCCAAGTGTGTTAATTTGGTTCTTTCCTCTCTGTTTCCCCCTTCTGCCGAACCAGCAGCTCTAGAGAGAGTTGGAGAGGACCCATCCCTTCTATGTAGGTGAATGCATTGAATAGGGCAGCTCCAGCGTCAGCTAAATTGAAAGCCAAAAAACTCAAGGAGGATAAATCAGTATCTAGATATAACATTATAAATATGCTACTCTTTGGCTTAGATAAATAGACTAAAAATACAGCACCACACATGCTGTAACTAAAGGGTTTCAAATTAGTTAAAAACACAAGCTAAAACTAAACTATTGTCCTTTAGATTCAGCTGGGCTGTTTCATTTGAGATCATTTACATTGTTTCTGCACTAGATCCACTCAAAAGATGGCCATACTTAATATTCCCACCAGCTGGAGGGCCTTTGGAATGAACTTTCACTTCTAGAATAACCTCTGTTATTGAGGACTTTTTTCTTTATTTATTTTTAATATCCATCTTATAAGTTGTGACATGGAAGTCTTCTGGAGTCCTTATTAGGGCAAGCAGACATTTCCTCTCTCCTGTCTTCATGCTGCTTGTCTCAATGACAGAGCCAGAATTACAGTTGATAAATATACCTTCATAAATGAAGTGCTTGACATTGAGAAAAAAATGCTCTGTCTGAGCTAATTTATTCCTAGAGTCAAATATGTTCTAGCATTCCTTACCTTTAAAGTACTTATGCCAAATATGTTTTAATAGTAATAAATAAAGACTTCTCATCTCCAGATATGTTCAGAGTGAATGAGCATTCAAGTAGATTTTGTATCCCTGCCAAAATACTATTCCAATACAGATTGCCAAAAAAGTCCCAGAGAACACTTCTTTATCTTCTTGAGAGCCAGAAAATGTGTCTGTATTGTGGGATAGACTTACTTGTCAGCAGGACTGTTCAGGCTTTCTTGGCCCATTCTTCATTCAAGATAGAACCTTTTTAATGGATTCGGATGCCAAAAACGGTTACAGCTTTCTTGGCGTGTTGATAGCTGGTCATGCACCTCATCAGTTCTGTCCTGCTATGTGAAAGGAAAGCCACAGCCTTATAAGGATATGATTTGCTGGGACTGATGTGGAAAAGGATTTTGAAACCACTATATATTTTATTTCCATAAAAGAACAAAAAGAAGAAAATATGGATTATCAATATACCCAAGACATCACACACAGTTAAACTGGCAGCACAGCAAAAATGGCTTTTGTAAGACCTGCAAGCTTTGATATAAAGGGGAGAGGCAGTTCATGGAGCTTGCAGTGGCTGACTACACTTTGAAAGTCTCTCTGGTTTCCTGGTAGTTTTTCCAGTTCTAGGAGGAGCAAAGTGAAATGCTGCTAATTTTTAAAGTGAAGAATTTAACCATACTATTTATAAGGGAAAAGGCTGTCTTTGAAATTTTCAGTTTGTTAAGAACTTTTTTCTTCAGTGTGAGCCTAGTTTGCCATGCTTATGTTTTTCCAGTAGTGATTTTTTGTTATCCAGAAACAGATTCCTCAGTGGAAAACATCTTTAAGCTACATTGTTGTTGTCTGCTGAGTGCACTCTACGTTCCTATGTGATCTTCCTTTTGGATTTAAAATCAAAACTTTCTGTCCTTGAATTTCTTAGCATTATTTGATTTTAATACACTCAAGTAGGAGAATCATTAAAGAAAAGCTATTTCTGTTAACATTGTTGATAATATTATGTAGCTTCTGTATAGCGGGTTCCTTCTAAGAAGCCATGAGATTGAATCCTGAAGCTCGTTTGTGTCCTGGTGCTATGATGTCAAATTATTCACAGCTGTATAAGTGAAAGAGTTAGACATATGGAAATAATATTATAGGTCCCTTCCAATTTCTTCAGCAGCTCTTCAGCCAGCTCTGATTTAAATCTCTTCCCAAAGTTTGTTCAAAAGCTCTGGCACAACTAAAATCATTACCTGATGTTTTGATCACTCTCTACAAGCTTTATAGTATCATGGAGAAATCATTATGGGGTAACAGTGAGGATGAGCTATGCAAATCTGCTTTTCTGTACTGGATTTTCAAACAGCTTCTTAGTACCATTGGACTTTGCATGCCTGGGTAGGAAAACAATTGAAATTCAATAGCAGTTACAAACTATCTGCAAACAGTTTTAATAGTCACTTCAAAGCAGACACCAGTGAGTTCCAGAGAAGATTTCAGTGTGTCAGATGGAATGACAGAAAACCTTGAGTCGTTTGAGTAAGAGTACATGTGAGCACTTTGATGGCAAGCCTTCCCAGTTTTTCCTGAAAAGGAATCAGTGTCTGTCACTGACCATTTTTTATTTTACACCCATTTTTTGTTTTAATCAAGATGTTTCCAATCCTTCTTTATAAGTTATCCAGTTTATACTAATGTTTCAGACTGACTCATTGCTTGTGTTTCCAATCCTGTTTTCTTAGCAACATTTCAAATCTGTTGAGTAATCTGCAGTTTCATCAGGAATTTCAGTGATAGTCAGCAATTTCTTCTGGAGATTACTGACAGTATTCTGTTCAGAAAGAACTATGACATGCAAAAGATTCTTTGGGCCATGGGAACATGGGAACCACATTTTTAGTAATGTGTTCACACTTTGTGCCTGAATAAGAAAATGTCTATAGGGTTTGGTTTCTTTTCTGACCTACAAACCAAATACTCTGGCTGTGGAAGTAGACTGTACCCTCTTACATACAAGTCCACTTGTAGCTAAGCACTGTAATTTACATTCTGAATAATGAGGATTGCAGCCGATTACTCATCAAAGTGAATGCAAATGAAAATACAAAGCATAATTACCAAATATTTCAGTACCAGGAAAAAATGGTATCTAGGCAAAGAATTAATACTTCAGTCTTTGAAACTCTTTTTTGCAATCATTTCAGTTGCTGCTGAAATGCACCCATGCAGCACAGTAGTTTTAGGTGGGAAGTGAAGAAAAGTTTTTCCAATTGAAGCTGGAGGACCAATTTTGATAGTAATTATCTGAGGTTGGGTCAGCTCACTGGATGTTATTATCTTCTGCCAAACTAAAAATGAATTTATGAAAAATGAAACCTGTAATGATCCTAAGTGGTGAGACCCTAGTAATGGAAGTCACACAGAAATACAGATAGTTCTGCTACAGA